GTTCCCCTACATCCACTGTTTGAAACTTACTTTTTTGATGTGGACAAACTGGCGGATATCCATGTCATCATCTCTGTTCTTGACATCAGGCCGTACAGTTTGAACTACCTGGCAGACCACAGGTACAATGATATCCCTCCAGGACAGTGACAGGGACTCATTGTACAGAAGCTGCTGAAGCAGTGCCATCATGTGGTTGTGATTAGCAGACCTGTAAAAAAGGCACAATGAATAGACTTCTTGTGAGAAAAATACAGAACAGTGATTAGTTGAAGTCACATTTCAGAAGTAAATTTCTTAACATTCACAGTGCAGGAAGTCCTCTGAAGGAACAGCTGTCTAGAATGGTCTACAGTCAACTCTGGTCCTGTACTTCAATATATAAAAATCACAGAAAGAAACCCAATCAAAATATACTGTAAAATGCTGTTTTCTTAATGCAAATTAGTTCCTGTATTTTCCACTGTAGATCAAGTCCCACTGAAAGCTGCTGGAATAGAGGGGCTTCAGGAATTGTTACTCCAGATATGCAAATTCCTTTTTCTACATGTTTCTTACAGCAGCCTTTCCATAGCTTGTTTCTCCCCATTCTCCTCTCTCAGCAGATCCAGATTGCTGTGGTGCCAGCCTAGGGGCGTGAAAAAGAGTTCTTTGGACTTCTCCTCCACCCTCCTATTGAATAAGGACTCTGCAAGAGAGAAACAAACCTTGTTAATATAAGGTCACAGTTGAATGCCTGTGTCTTTTTGAAGGGCTACTTTGAAAAGGAAAGAATTTACTAAGATGTAAGTTTAAGTCTCTTGAGACACTGAGTTTGAGCTAGACGTCATGGTAACATGATGCAGCAAACCGCATTCAGTATAACAGTAGTGAGCGTACAAAGGAAAAGTGAGCTACTAAAATCCTTGTACTGCCAGTACAGAGCAGACTGTTTTCTCTTCTGGAATTGAATTGTTACCAAGTTTAAGACAAAGAAAAAAAAAAAATTCTTATATTCCACTTCTGCCTATAAATAAGCAGCAAATTCCAAATACCATATATATTCATAATACATAATCAAAATGTCTTTTAGAATTAGAACATTGGTCAAAGGCACAGATTTGATCCATAAAAAGCTTCTGCTTTGAAGGCATGTATGTATAAGTGGCATTAAAAGATCTAGTTGTTTCATTAAGGTTGCAGGACAACTATCAAAAATATCTTGGTAAAAGCCTTGTTTAGTGCACCTCCCAACCATATTTTAAAGAAATGCTACGCTATCAATTCATATGTCAGACTTTTGAACCTTTATATGACTTGCAGCCCTGATCCCACGCACCACCTCTTTGCTGCTCAGGTGCAGAGGGAGCTGCCAGCAGGCTGGTTCATCCAGACCTGGTCAAGCATTGGAAAAGGCTGCCCAGCGAGGTGGTGGAGTCACCATCACTAGAAGTGTTCAAAAAACATGGCACTTCAGGATATGGTTTAGTGGGCATGGTGGTGTTGGGTTGATGGTTGGACTTGATGATCTTAAAGGTCTTTTCCAACCTTAAGGATTCTGTGATTCATCCAGACTATGTCACAGAATGCTACAGAATTCTGAAGGTTCTTCTGTCAAGAAAGTGGCACAAGCTTTTCAAAAGATCTCAGCACATCTTCTTATCTCCATCTACTTAACCATCATATACACAGGTATCCCTCTGCTATGATAAACAGGATGCCAATGAAGGCTGAATCCACTGAATACAATTTTTTGAATCCTAAATGTCAGCATGATCTATATCCATTTCTGGTTTTGAAAACGGAAAGCAGGTTTCAACAATATAAAGACAGTCCTCACTTGGAAGGGGCCTGCTGCTTTCAATCACTATATTGTGTAGTAACCCCTTAGAACTATTCCCTGTTTTGCAGCACCAAGATTAGAGTTTTTTTCAGCACAGTTTTCTGTGCTTTGAAAGAGTTACTAGGTTATTTTCCACACAGGTATTATGATATTATAGAGGGAAGTTATAAACTTCCCCATTCTCACAATGGCTGACTATGTCATAAGTCATTTATGCTAGCAGTATATAAATTTTCATCAGCATATATGTAAGCCTTCAGAGTTCAAGCTTAAAACTCCTCAGAGTGCATGATACCACTGCAAAATTCTTATACAATAGTAACCTAAGCAGGACTACTGAAAAGACGACTCTACAAAACAAACAATTAACTTCTTCCAGATGCTCCATACCCAAAATTAGCTGCGTAGAAGATTAACAGAAGTTAGATGGGGTTTTCTCCTTTCCTTTTTCCTGCAAAAGCTCAGTTAAAAACTAAGCATCAGTTTAATCAAAGATTTTATTCTTTTGCCTGCACAGACATTGGGGTTTCCCCCTTATTTCCTCCTCTTACAAGCTCACCAAAATCAATGACACTAATTGGGAGAAAAAGAGCCCACAAGTGCACGTGGCCATGATATTGGAAGGCACATGGGTTTTAAAACTCACAACTGCATCTAACGGCTTTTCATTTCAGAAGCAGTAGAGGTGGTGGTGGTGGGAAACACAGAAAGATTTAAGAGATGAAGCTTTAAGGTACTCTGTTAGAAGAAGTGCAATTAATCATATCACATCTTCATTTGCTTGCACACAAAGTTAAAATTGGTGTCTGTTACATAAGTTTGTGCGTGGGGAAGTTGTGAAGAGACTTGCCACTTACACTTTTTTTTAGATAAGTAAAAGCTTTTCTTTGAGTGCTTTTGAATTAAGAAATCTGAGAAGTGAAAGAAATTTAAGCTTGAAAGTGCATTCAAAATAGTTAGAGTATAGTTTATGTATCAGTTTTGCCACAAATAAGTTCAGACTGACTGTCAAGTAAATATTTCTAAAGGTCTAATGGGTCAATGCCCTATTAAAGGAGTACTGAGGAGTTTTCATCATTATATTAAAACCATACAACAGCAACATTAGAAGTTTCTCCTTACCTTTAATAAAAGCATCACTTATAGAGAACATCTGCTGCCCTCCGTTTTCGGGATTCAAGTACTCTGAAAGAGGAGAGAAGAGGGAGATAGGCGGAGACAAAAAAAATGACAGGTTACACTGGTGCGCCCATATAATTACAATGTACACGCCCACACCAGAAGAAGCAGCATTACTCATCTAAGTGTTTAGTCACCAATTTAGCAACAGCTTGATGAGTGGTCAAGACAAGAATGTCCCCTCATTCTTGTTCTATCAAAAAGTTCTAAGACAACAAGAATAGTACTTATTACTGTGAAGAAACAAAACAAAACAAAGTAGACACAAGCAAAGACTGAACTAGGAGTTAAGAATTTGCTTTTCCAATTGACCCCACACCACACTTTTCTAGATCTGAATAGACATGTGCTGAGCTGGAAGCAGACACCGTGGGAATGTCCAGACAGGGAATGGCCTCCTCATTCTGGTCTAAAAATGCAGCTTCAGAAGCCATTTTGCTCTCACACTCCAATACAGTATCTCAGACTAAGGGAGAGACCAGCCACAAGATTTATCTTACACACTGAAGAGAGAGAAAAAAAAAAAAAAAAAAAAAAAAAGACAGACTGCCTTTCAAGAGCTGTAAGTCTGAAGTCTAAAACAGTTTGAAGTGTTTTGAGGAATCCATGCTGACAGAGGTGGACTCTCAGCAACAAAAGGAAAGCAAGAGTTATATATCACTTTACATATGGGAAACAGGATGAAGCTCCATCTGTTATACTTGTCTAGCTTGCTAGATCTTGATCTTTCATGCAGGCTGGCTGGTTACAAAAAAGCTTGTTGTGCCTTTAGTTGGTTTCTTGTTTCTACAAAAAGGAATTGTACAGTGGGATAACAAGAGCAATAGCCCAACTACTTATACAGTGTGATGATTTGAAGTTTGAAGGTAACCCTTTATCACCTTTCCTGAGAAGGGTCCAGACCTACTGCAACAAACAGAATGCAAAGTCATGCAGCTTTCAGACACAATGAGAAAGCAACAGAAAGTTGACAGGACGCAAGCAATCACAAATCTCTGAACAGCAGCACTCAATAGACCCCTTACAAGCCGCCAGTTTAAAAATCTGAGCTTTTCTGCAGTTGCCCAGTTTGCAAACAGATACTCAATAGATAATCAATGTACCAAAGAAGTTGCAAGCCTCTCTTGCAGCTTGATGGTTACTTGCAGATTCCTTTCATCTCTTGCTTAGATGAAGAGTTTAGCATTACAAGCAACCTACTGCTTGATAAAAGTCTGCTCACCCTCAGCATTCATTCACCCACAGACTACCTACAGAAAGTCATGCCATGCTGTACCTACACATGAACTTGCTTCTCTTCAATACAGCCTCACCTCCTATAACTTTTGCTTCCAGTTGTGCCCCAGGGAAAGTTCCTGACAAGGTAAGGTTCCATACCTCTTCCTAGACTGAACAGATAACATGCTCATAGGTGTGCGTTTGAGACCGTAAGAGTGGCCAACATGTATTTTTCTTAACTTACCATCCCTACATGCATCATGCTCCACAGAATGCTGAGGGTGAGGAGGGAGTTCCTGTATCGTGTTTTGCAGCCTTGTTGGCAAGCAGTTAGCTATCAAGAGACTATCTTACAAGCTCCCCTGAACAGCTTAACAAAAAAAAAAAAAAAAAAAAAAAATCCCCACAACAAAAAAAGAAGCAAAAAACCCACCCAGAACATACAAATTCCTAGGTCTGATATTCCAGGGCATCACTGGAAGCAAATACCACAATGCACACAGAAATTCACAAGGTGTCCAGTGGAAACCAGCAGGTACAGATTTTATACACCTTACAGATTGCTCTCCTTAAACATCAAAAGACACTGGCCAGCAACCACAGCTTTTCCTCTAGATACGCAAAAAAGCATGTATGGATCCACAGATAACCACTGAAAACTGAGGTGCACCTTCAAAAGAAGGTGCACCAAAAAGGCTCCTGGCAACGGTACACTAAGCCTTGGCAAGCAATGGTGATAAGGAATTGTGTCACGGTTACTCAGATCCTCTTCTCTTTCCCCCTCCTAACTATATGCAGGCATCAAAAACTAACTATCCAAACTACCTGCTGCCAGGATCAAGGATATCAGGCTGAAAGGACATTTAGAAAATAAAGTTTCCCATATTGATAACTGTTTATCTTTAAAAACAGCAACTAAAACCCACATTTAAAGTAAGTAATTTAATCTCTTCCCCCCATTTAAATGCAGAAAGCAATCTTACTGTTTCTCATTTTGATACACTCTATAAAGTACCATTGTCTTTAGGCAGATGACACTATAAATGAGTCGCTATACTCACTTGTAAGATACTACAAGCCAGCTAACTTGGAGTCACTTAGAATTTCATGAAAACACACCAGACATTACTCAGCCTATAACATCACACGAAGTCCTGCCATTGGACTCGGACTATATACAAACCACTCTGCTCTAAAACACAGCTGGTACATCACAGGTCATTGCTTCAAAGCAGCTGACCTCTGTGACTGGTGGAAATTGCATATCCCTTAATCATTTGAATAAACCCACTAACCGCTTAGATCAAAGCTGACCTGCACTTCTAGCATTGATGTTTTGTCCTGTCAGTCCTCCCCCAGTGACTGTAATTTACACAGTTGTGAGGAAATTGAGTTACTAGCCTCAAAAGGTGGGTGTGATCTTCAGTTTTACTTCATTGTTTTAAACAAAATTAAGTCACCGTCATCCAGTCAAAGGAAAAAAGACAATTCCAATGAAATCAAGCCAAATACATGTGTCCACAATGGTCACAGGAAAGTTACTGACCCCTGACAGCAGCAATCACACCACGTCACTGATTGACCACAGTACTCTGTTCTTAAAATAACCATTTCCCATTTTACACAGAATCTTAACTATCTAGTCTTGGCTGTCTAATCATTGTGATACTCTGTAACATCCTGGATGGCATCTCTTGTTGAATACAGCCAGGATAAATCAGGAACACAAGGAGAAACTCTTTGCACTCCAACTTTAATATTTCCAGAACAAAGTTTTAGAGGTCATCCATTTCACTACGGTAGGCACTGCAGTATGCACTGTAGAGTTTTGTCCCACCTAATTTCAGAAGGCCTTGAATAACAAACATCTAGTTACATCTAGGACATCTAGTCCAAAGTACCGACGAAATTCCAGTCTCCGTATTGCCAAGTGTTTCTTGCTATTCAAGATGTCGTCACTCATTTTAACTTGTTGCACCCTGGTTAGGTCTTTCCTCTAGAGACTCTCATGCCAGGGATCCAAAAAAAGATGTACAGTAAGTCCTTTGTACTTGCAGAGGATACAGATTTTTTAAAAAAAACCTGCAGGATAATACCTACCTCTCCACAGTGCGTTTTAATGACTCACACCTCCACCCTATCGCAGTTCTGGACATATTACTGATACTTTCCCCTCAAGGAAAATCCATTCTCTTAAAAGGAATTGTTCCTAGTTTTCTACTATGAACTACACTCCTACAGAATAACCTGGTTATGAGATCACACATTTCAGGAACAGATAACAAACACAGGTCAGCAGAGATTCATCAAAGATAGCAGAGTACTGCCAACATATATAATTCAACGGCAGAAATCTCTCTCCTTTCAGTACCCTCACCACTTGCCTTTTCTGCTGATCTTCTCCAAGCTCTCCATCATCAAAACCTTTCTCACAAAAGCTTCAGTTCTGGCTATAAGAAGCCTTGATTTGGTTAACAGTTTCTGAGAGAGGTAGGCTTTCTTATGTTTCCCCTTCATCAGGTACTGCTTTTTGTATAAAGAAAAAGAGACTGAGATATGTCTGAAACCAGGACTATCACTCTACAAGTCCTTTAACGCTGGCCAGAGCCAAACTGACTACTGCCAGCTTTACTGCCAACACACACTGATAAAGATAAACCTGCTACAGCTGTAAATTCATAGGATACTGCACCACACCTGGGACTGTTTCAAGCTAACTTAATCCAGCATCCCTCCTTCCTAAAAGGAATAAATTGATATATTCTCCCTCTCCACACCTTTCCTTCCCTGCAGATGCATTATCTTTTCATTTTATTAGGGCAGGAGCTGGAAACAAGTTGAAAGGAACCAGTAACAAGTGTCAGCAGTGCTGACAACCCCTCCCTACAGTTGAGTCATCTGACATCAACTCAAATTTTGAACCTGCTCGGCTCTTCTCTTTGGGGGAAAAATAAGCAGTTAGATTTCCCTTCTTTACACATATTTTTAGCAAATAACAAAAGGTGACTACAATAAGCACTGATAAATGCCCCCTCTAATTTGCCTCACTCTCTCTCCCATGTCTACCACACTTTTACAGTCAGCTGTGACCAGTTCTCCTCCCTCACTCTCTTCAGTGACCATTTTACAGTTTCAAAAAATGCAATCTGTATGCAAGCATAAGGTTAAGTCTTGTATTCTGATCCACAACAACGGAAGAGATCTGTTAGACTTTATAGAGGATGAATTCATTAGAAGGAGTCCAAATTATTTAACACTGGATCATCTTTCACAGTTAGATATACTGAAGGGGTGGGGTGAAACAATAATTAAGAATAAGAAACTCCTTAGAAGCACCCAAAGATAGAAGTCTACAAAGCTGATGTAACCTTAGGTAAGGAAGCAGAGCAGAGACATCAATTGCTACCCAGCATGTAAAGCAACTAGAATATACTAGACCCAAGCCAGTGGCAAGCCCTGGTTTCAGTCAGCCCTTGTCCAATTTAGAGAATGCAGCTGTCAACAGGCAGGCACATTATTTTTTCCATAAGGATTTTGCTATTACTTAAAGTCTTTCAATTTAGTACTTATTTAGGAGAAAAAAAAAAAAAAACAAACTTTCAAAAGAAGTCTCCAACACTGAGTATTTGATTTCTTCCTACTTCACTTAAGTGCATGTTCCCTTTTGAACAAATGTTACACATATGGATTAAGTTAGAAGAACCTTATGGATGAGCAATAAGGCCTGTCTTCTTTTTCAGTTTAATCTCAGACTGTAGAGACACATATCAAACTGGTTTATGTATGGACTATTTTTCCACCCCAGTTAGCCAGAAACTGTATATGTGGATCTGCCCTATTATGTAAAGGCAGGAGACTTTGCTTCAACTGCAAAGAGAAAGTCACAGGGGAAGTTACACACTCTGCAGAGAAGGTGTTTCAACAGGTCTACTGAGCCTCCTCAAGGGTGAGCACATCACAACTGCAAGCGAGTGCCAGCTAAATAACATACTTCCCCCTCTGTAAGACAGCTACAAAAGTAGTGTCCAAACAGGTCAGTATTATTAGGGCCCAGCTCTCCATCATGTGCAACTCCAGCTGATGACTACCTCATACCTTTTTGGTCGGCAGGGTGAGGGGGCACATGTGGGTACTTGGAGTGCTTCTTGATATGGAAGTTCACGTTGTCCAGCTCCACGTTCAGGCTGATGGAGGCGGCTGAATCACTGTCCATTGTGGACTGGAAGCTGCTTACTGAAGTGCGCTTGCTAGGACTGGCGGAGTCTTTTAGTGTTGGGTAAGGGGGAAGATACAGGGAGGAGAAGGGTTCAAATGGGTATCATGAGGGTACCGGAGAGGAGAAAAATTGTCTTTAATACATAAAGACAAGTGTGCAATACTACAGGAATACAGTATTTTCATAGTTCTTATCTTCATGTGTGCATGCTGACATATTGGACCTTCTTTAGTGCATTACTATAGGGCCCAAATCAAGCAGAAGTCTGCCTAAGAAAGAGAAGGCAGCAATTTACATGCTTCTCCTCCATTAGAAGTATGAAGCTTTACCAGTTCCACTAAATACAAATACTGTATCCATCATAAGAAACAGGAGGACTAGCTAGGTTATAGTTTGCTTAGATCCTTAGAGACCCGTGCACATTCACACAAATGTACACACACACACAAAGCAAGACATGGTTAAACTACTATGTCCCGAAGGACTAGTGATAACAGGGGAGCAGGCAGAGTGAGAACTCACTGGCTAAGTTATCTTCTCCTTCATCAGCAATCTGCTCTGTGTCACTGTCATCAAACTTGATGTCTTTGAACCAGGATGGCTCAGAGTGCCCCTCCACAGAGTTCACAGAGTCACTGTCTGGAGATGGAGTTTCCGAGAACTCCGTGCTCTAGAAGACAAGGAAGAAAAAAAAGTGTCAAAGTGCAGCTCTGCTGGAATATTAAGCAGCCTTAGAAAGCAGCCTGTGACAATTGCAGATCAGACATTTTAAAAATCAGAAGACAATCTCAGTGGGCTGAGTCAGGTTAGTCATAGAGCCACCCTCCCTTGGCATGAAATAGGAACTCTTCAGGACAGGAAACAAGTATTTCTTTACACTTCCCACATGCTTAGTCTCTGCCTCCTCCCCACCTCCACACAAGTTGTGACTAAGTGGCACTAAAGGACGAGTTTACTCTACTGCATGTTTTCTGTCACCACATCCAGCTAATCTGTTTTGGATGCTCCCTATCCCCAGCCAAGGTGGGTGATGACCATGTCCTTTGCCCAGAAACCAGAATATGCATCTTTTGGTGGAGGCTAATTCTAAGTTGCTGGAGCAATTCTGTGACTGAACAAAGTAGCTCTAAGAGTTTCACTCACAAATCAGGCTCTAGCTGTTTTTTGTGTCAAAACAAAGCATGGCTAGGGTGCCAGAGAACCTGGAGAGCATCTAAGCAATTTCTGTCAGCCATCCTGATGCCTCCAGTCACCTCAGGAGGAAGTTCTCGCTATCATTCCGTTGGCTACAGTGAGTGCAGCAAGCAACTGAGTCAGCAACACTGTTTCTCCTGACTCTTGTCCAGGAGAAATGAGATCAGACAGTGCTTTCAGTTGATTGGAACAAGAATTGGCTTTAAACTTTGAATAACCTAAGGCCCTTACAAATAATTACAAGCAAAGATCCATAAGCACTTACTAGTTAAGGGCAAGCTTTTACTAGCAAACTGAGACAGTGCAGTTAACTAGCTGAGATACCAGATGAAGACCAGAGCAATCTCAATAGAAGACCATGTAACTGTGGCCAAGAGCTGAAATGCACGAGGAAGACAAGATGGTAATGGCTGCAAGCTTTCTGACTGAGGCCCATGGGACAACTAAGCCATTCTTTATTGTGAGAAGCTGCAGAACATGGAAGACTCTCAACTGAATGCTTTCAGGTAACAAAGCGGCTACAGAGATATCTTACTGAAGTTAAAAAATACCAAGCTAGTCACTGAGGCCAGTGACTGCTCTTACCCCTTGGCAAGTTTGATTGCAATGAAATATGGTAGGCTAGCATCTCTGGTCACTGGTTCCCTGCCTCCCACTCAGCTAGCCAGTCCTACTTCAGAGGCATGAGAGAGACCCCTTCCCAATCTTGCATCATGGGCTATGGTACTGAATTCTTTATTACTGCCATCACTGCAGATCAGAAGAAGGTTACCAGTACAATATATAAGAACATTCAATTCTGTATATCTAAAATATCCACTCTTTGGAAGTTTTTAAAGAAGGAATTTTGAAGACCACCATTGTGTCTCAGTGACCAGTAATTGCACTCAAATTCTACATTCTGCACGATAGCACAGCTGCCACAAGCACAGACTGTGCCACTCCAAGGTCTCCGTGGAAGATGTCCACTATGAGACGCACTGGCCTAGGTTAGAGACCCTTTCCTCCACTTTAGGCAGCACTACGTGTAACAACTGATCCTCCACAGAGGACAGCCCCAAAGCTTTCTGGGCAAATGCAGCTTCCTCAGGCTTGAAACCACCAAGAAAAAAAGGCCTGGACCCCAAGTCTCTGTACAGAAGAGCTGATTTAGAAAGCATACAACAGCTGCTGAGAACATGATTAGAAGAGATCCTAGTAAGTAGCCAAACCCAGCAAGAACCATAGCTTTCCTACTCCTTTTACCTGTAATGGTCTGTAGAGAGCATACTCATCTCTGAAGAGCTGATCATGATGACTGACACATTCTAGCCAGCGTCCATCAACCAACGCTTGCCCTATTGCAATGGCTTGAGCCCTGGAGGTATAAGAACAGAGATGGTTTTCTAAGTCTAGTTCCAAATGCACATGGTTTATGGTACAAGCATGCTACAAAAGGAAAGTCATTTACTATGCACTGTCTGACTCATCAGTATCCCATTGCTATGTTTAACCAGACACTATTTAAAACATTGTGGAGAGACAGCAGAGTGTACGGATTCAAGCATGGACCTAGATGAAGAGACTGCCAGTACTCTAAACTCAGCTGAGGTGTCCAACAGATGATTAAGACATATTGTTTGTGTTCCTCCAATATTGCTAGCTTGAGTTATATATACTGAGCATCTCTGCTGAGTGTGGACTGTTACTCTACACTTCAGAACTGTCTCAGTTTTATCCCCTCTCGCACAGTTAAATACACCAGATTCTTTATACTTAGTTACAAGGTTAAGACCCTGCCAACCCCACCAAAAATTTAGCTGTCAAACGCTGTTAGTGATCTCTGATCCCAGGGGCAGACTTGCCCTTTGGACTATCAGTGAACATTTTTGGACAGTCTTTGTAATACACTCACTGTTCTCCAACTGTTTGAGGGATACTTGTCCTATAAGCTGCTTCCCACACTATCTCCCAAAACAGACAGCCCCCTGTGCCCTGCTGTTTTGGGCCACACAGAGTCAGAACCCTACCTGCTTTGGTAGGCAGTAGAGAAATCAATTTTCTTTCTCACCTCCCTGCAAAGGGGTCTATCTCTGCAGTCTAAGGTACTCTATATCAGCTAAAACTCACAACCTCCTGCCACACCCACTGTCCTAAAGCATCAGGGTTACCTTGTGGTTATGTGCCCATTTCTGATGAGCCAGTTGACCAGCTCTTTTCCCACAATGCAGTTGGGATGCGTCCGCAGCCAGTAGCGATGGTCTTGAAACTCCATCCCACTGTTGTGATGACAGATTTTCTTCCACAGATCTTTCAGCTGGACTGAGTCCTGGACAGGGAGATGTGCAAGTTACTTGCTACTCTGACTTTAGCAAGGGTTTCAAGGCAATCAACCTGGGCCCTCAAATCACCTTCTAGATCAAAAGCCCTCCAAACAGGCATAAAATCTAAGCCATTCTGCACAACCTATGCAAAGGTCTAAACAGAAATAGCAAACAGACGTCAGCTCATTATATCCTTCCTTTTATATAAAGCTGAGAACAAGGAAGAAACAAAGTGGGTACCCTCAGAGTTAAGGGGGTTTTGTTTTTAATCTAGCAAGACTTTGTACTGCCTACAAAATACTTATGTCCTCACTACTGCCCTCTTGCATCCTACTCTCAAACTCAGGTAGTATGTGTAAATATAGAGGACAATGAAAACTAATCCTTTGCAAGAGATTTTTTCTATATAGTCTGTGCTCAACCTAGCCTAGGCTTTGTGAAGCATACTAGTCCATTATCAAGCCCAGCTATAAAGCAAGTACTTGACACAGCAATGCATGCTGCTATGTTCAAGTACAGGGATAACATTTCTTTTTGAGGATTCCTTTTTTATTGTCCATTATCAAGCCATTTTTAGACACTGCTAGCTTTGGCCACTAAGCAAAAGAGGTGTGTACCCCTCTCAACTCAATTAACCGTTTTTGAATCTGTGGATCTCTTCCCCTCACTACTTGGAACACTTCAGCCTATACCTCAAACTTATTTTCAGGCCTGTTAAGCATACACACCAACTCTAGTGTAGGCTATGCTCCATCCAAGCTGAGCTGTCTCTCTGTACCTGGCCCCTTTTGCTCCCCCATACGTACCCTAGCTTGGCACAGCATAATCCATTGTTGCAGAGTGGAAAATGGGACCTGGGATCATTTTGAGAGAGCAACAGAGCACCCCAAGGGGTGGAGAAGAGACACTGCAGCTCACTTTCTCAAATGCCTCACTCATTCCGGTTTTGTGTAACAATAAAAAAGAACTTCAATTAAATTTTAACTGGTTTCAGTTTTCCAGTTAACTGCCAGACCCACATAACTGCACTTTACCAAGGGTGCCCTGAGATCCAAGAGTTTTGCTCCACTTCTGTTACTGAACTGGCTTTCTGCTTTTATTTCCAGCAGTGGCTGTCCTAGGTACTGTCCTAAAAATATGTCATCAGCTCAGATCCCCTTCTGTAGCAGGCATAGGGTCAAATGGATCAGTAATGGAACGTGTCACAGGATCACAAGATTTGATGCAACTGGTGATTCCACAGTTCAGCTGCCTTGTAGTTTACCCTTAACTCACATGTGACTTCAGTAAACTGAACAAACTGGCAGAACACAGCAAATCCTTTCAACTCAAGGATTTTGACCTCTAGTTCACAGAAGTATATGCTTACCTCAGTGTATGTATATCTTCCCCTACCTTTTATTTCATGAGCAAAGTTCATTAGCCTTCTTAATGGAATATGTTAAGCTTTAAATTAACTCCTGATAGAGTCAGCTCCACATGCTAAGGGCATTGAACAGTGGGAATTCACAGAAAATCCTACATTAATTGACACTGCACCTTCTGCTCTAACATGAACAGAAGTGATACCACAAATCCTCTTCTCCCTCAAGGAAGGAAGCAGCCAAAAAAATTAAACAATGTGAAGCTGAAGTGCACTGGGACTTGATCATCTTGGTCCAAGTTGCATTCACAGCATTTTAAATTTCCTTTTTCCTGCATTAACATATGGGGCAGGGTGATGTAACGATATGCCTTAAAAATGCTTCTCCCTCATGTGGTTATCACTTACAGAGCACCTTGGAAAGGAGTTGTGCAACTGAACAGGATCTAGAGTGTTTATGTACCCTTAGGAATCCTTCTATGCATTTTGCTCACAGCGTGCAACTACCTGACAACACAGAAATTAGCCTTCCTGATTTTAAACTGGCAATGTGGAGCAATCTTGAACCTTTTAATGTGTGAAAAACACTCCCTTCTCTGCATCTTTTTTGCCCCATTTGTTGGAAACACTTCCCCCCCCCCAAAGAAAAGAAACACTGTTTTTTACTGAAACTGTACAGTAAGTGCCACCTCCAACAGTGCCTCTGTGGGAAGGGGATAATAGGATTACACAGAACACTGTTGCACATTGATTTTTCTTCAAACAGGTACGTCACTACAGCCTTCTGGAAAATGTTGTATTTCTTCTACAAGCAAGGGCAGGGGCCAAGTTATGTTTTGGCCCTATAAGCTGTAACAGCTTTAACTCATTCACATCATGGTGTAAACATTTTGAAGCAGCCATTTAAACATTCTGATTATGTGGCCTATGAAAGGGAAAATCTGAACTTGGAGAAACACAGAATCAGGTCATCCCGTTACAGCTGCAACCATGACAGATTTAACCCACAAGGAGCCACCATACACCAATTCCACACTGCGTAACACTTCCCAAGACTAAAACTGTAAACAGTTTTAGGCAAACACCACATGAAACTATGATTTGTTTAAGGAAGACGGAAGTGCCTAAAGTAGCATCAATATGCTCGTATCCCCACACCACCTGGAAGAGGGATCCAGGTAAGAGTGCGCAGACTAGAGCCTTTAAAGGCAGTAAGATAATCCTGCTGCACGATACAAGAAAGTCAAACTTCACTGCCTTCACAGAGTGTGACAAACAGAAGCCTGATCGGTACCAGAAGGATTTTGCGCTCATCCTCGCTGGTCTCTGCCTTCATATGTGTGCGACTGGCCTGGGGGCTGACAGATGTCTCATAGGCAGGCACCATTGGTGAACCTGATCGATCCAGTGACAGGTTAGTGATGCTGGCTGATCTGTAGTGGAAGAGAGAAGAGTTGAAGTGTAAGTGTTCATTGTGTGGCGCTTTGCCAGAGCAGGCATTGACCTTGTAGCATGCTAAAAAAGGAACTTAAGCCTGTGACATTGTTCATTCTCCTCAGTACAGACTTACTGCTTAAAGCTTCCTCCACTGTCAAAGCAGAAGAAAAGATCCCTAGGAAGGAAGTCCATTGCTTTGGAATGTTTAAGTTAAACATACAACTTTCATAAAGCTCTTTGTAGAAAGCAATTAGAACTAAGTTTAGGCACAGCAATTCATATGTCTGCATTTGAATAGACTGGGGAAGGGATGGGATGCCAGGTACTTAGAAGGCCCAGCAGTTTGGAGATAAGACAGATACCAGCAAGGGCAGCCAGCACCATGATCCCTGTAACAGGGCACTGAGATTCCCCCTCTCCTTGACCCATTTAAAATTCCTTCTCCTCAGCTCTCTGAAATACATGGCTGACACCTTGTAGAGTCTGGAAGTTTGTTGCCTAGGGCAGCTAAACTGTCTGCTGAAGCTGGTCACTTCAGCTGGCAATTTTCCTTGTACTGCAATATGGAGCATCCACCTGATCTCAGGCCAGTTGTTAGGAAATGTACTCCAGTACAAACACACCATTTTGCAATAATCATTGCAAAGCTACAAATGCAAATACAAGTTCCAGATACCCTCTGCTCCAATATTCCACAACTAGACTAAGCCTCTGAATAACCAGAGTGCAACCTCTCATCACGCAGCAGCAAAAAGCATTCAGTGTAAGATATTCATGATAACAACGCTCTCAGGAATAAGGATGGAAAACGGTCCTGCATACAGCAACAGGGATGTTTAAAACACCAATGCTGAACTGACTCAAGAGGCTTACAGCGGCCTCAGCAATGAGACCTGTTGCCAGCCTCTAGTCTTTGGAACTCAGATAACTTCACAGAGCTTGCTAACTGGCTAACAGACACTCTAATTATTCCCAAGAATTCTCAATGGACGATGTGACTGAGACCAGGCATGAAATAACAATGTCACCCTATTTCAGCTTTTGTACTGCAAGAAAGTAGGCACTGAAAGTACAATAGTCTCAAAATCACTTCTTTTTCCTCCTCTGTCTCTTGAGGAGGAATACTGGGCTGATTTTAGTTTTAGTTAGGTCCCTTTTTAGTCATTTATGCAGAATCAAAGGAAACCATGTTGGCACTACATCCACATACATCCAGGGACGATAAACAAAAACTTTCTGTCATAGTCAGGTATTCAAGGCAGGCTAAAACTCTGCCAGCCTTCTGCTGTTCTGAACTTAAAATGGGCAGAGTTACGCAGCTTAACAGAAAGCATTCTTATGTGGAAGATGAGACTGACATGAAAGTCCATCATTAAGCACTCCTACCAGTTGTTTCACAACAGCTACTTTAA